AGACCATCTGTAACAGATAATTATATATATAAGACTGTATAAGAACCAGATATATCGTATTATCTAGTGTGTATTTTATATGCATTATATTGTATTTTATAATTTGTATAAAACATAAGAATAGTATTTATGTCAGAATAAAAGGTGTCACTGGTCCCTAGGAGGAGGATGATCTTGCTCTGAAGGCCGTGTTCATTCTGCTGTGTAGGAGCAGCAGAAAACATTGAGAAACCACTAAATCGTCCTTCAGTGTTAGGTCAAAGTTTGCTAGTATTTAGGACTACTTTTTTGAAAGCCCGGTTGTCACTCAGGCTTCTTCAAAATCGAGAAAAGTACAAACAGCAAAAATTAAATCAATTAATTTTATTTTTTTCTGGACTGCTGCCTACAGAGAGCTAAGACTTCCAAATCATAGGTATAAGAATTCAGGTACATACACACCTGAGCAACAGGAGTCCGAAGCAAAATCCTGTTCTTCCTAGAACCCAGGGAAGTGTTAATAACATTCCTAGTTAGCTATCTTCAGAATAGCATGAGATTTTTATATATATGTATGTATTTTTAAAGAAAAGAGAATTATTTTAAAATAATTGCCAACATCTTATTTTAGGGAGGTTAAGAAAGGGCTATTTCAGTCAAACAATAGTGGTGGTATGGAGCGATAGGCAGGTAAAGTTCTCATCATATTGGGAAGGGTTGCCCCTAGCTGCAAGACTTTGGGGACATTGTATTTTTAATCCTAAGAAATGTTATCATCCTTTCATGTGTCGGCCTCAGAGTGTGGCCTCCAGAGAACAGAAACACTTAAGATCTCCCAAGAACTATGGAGTCCTTTCTTTTTAAGGGGGAATTAAAAAAAATAAGTCTTAATGCCTGATTAATTTTATTCATGAGATAGTGAAAATGATGAAATCAAGTCAAAATTAAAAATTCATATTAGATCAAATTACACTTGAGAGGGAAAGAAAAAAAAAAGTTTTGTTGTCTGTCTGTTGTCTGCAGTTTATAGTCAAATAAAGCATAGGAATCAGCCAAGGAAACAAAATGTGAGAATGCTTTGAAATTGAGCAGAATCTTGGAAAAAAATCATTTAAATCCAGGGAACAGCAGATTGTACAATATTAATACAACCAAAGCCCAAAGCTTATGATGATTGGCAAAAAAAGAAAAAGCAAAAGCTCATAAGAGCGTTTAACCTCTCCCAGGTAGTGAAGGAGAGATTGTAGTAACGGCTCCGAGTTTTCAAACCATGAAGCCTCCAAGGGGATGGAAGTCCCTTTGGTTCTT